AGCAGCAGCAGCAGTGAGGGGGACGCAGGAGAGGCGGGGGACCAGGGCTGCTTCTCGGAGGCCCAGCGCTGTGACGGCTGGTGGCACTGTGCCAGTGGCCGCGATGAACAGGGCTGCCCAGCCTGCCCGCCGGACCAGTATCCCTGCGAGGGCGGCAGCGGCCTGTGCTACACGCCCGCCGACCGTTGTAACAACCAGAAAACCTGCCCTGATGGCGCCGACGAGAAGAACTGCTTCTCCTGCCAGCCTGGCACCTTCCACTGCGGCACCAACCTATGCATCTTTGAGACATGGCGCTGTGACGGCCAGGAGGACTGCCAGGATGGTAGCGACGAGCACGGCTGCCTAGCTGCCGTGCCCCGCAAGGTCATCACCGCAGCCCTCATCGGCAGCCTGGTCTGCGGCCTGCTGCTTGTCATCGCGCTGGGCTGCGCCTTCAAGCTCTACTCCCTGCGCACGCAGGAGTACAGGTGGGTGGCTGCACGCCTCGGGCCCCGCTCCCGTATCAAGAAAGCTCACGAATTCTGTGACACCCCCCCCCCCCCACACACAGCTTTGGGTTTGTAAACTGTGGGGTTCAGGCCAAGCACAGGTGGACTTCTGCCCACAGGGGGGTCTGGGTGTCTCCAGACATCCCTGTGGAGGAGTAGGGAACCCCAGTGGCGTCATGGGTTACCCGTTGGGCTGCGAAGCCAGCAGCCTCTACTCCGGAGAAAGCCAAGGCTTCTGCTGCGTACAGATGGACAGCATCTGAAACCCACAGGGGCGGCTCTACTCTGCTCTGTAGGGCGGCCATGAGTTGGAATCTTCCACGGTGGCGGGTTTTTTTTGGAATGCAAGCTCAAAGGAACCCTGGAGATACTGGGGATTAGGCGTCAGGTTGCTAATCACCGCCCCCCAGCCGTAGGTGATTTCGTCAGAGAAAGAAGAGGCTGCTCCGGAAAGATGGACAGTCTCTGAAACCTTCTACTGGGTCCCTGTGTGTCAGTATTCGCTCCGTGTCAAAGGGTTGACGCTGCAGTGGGCCCAACAGCCCAGCCACTAGCTTCCTGTTGATCATTTTTAGGGCCTTTGAGACGCAGATGACGCGCCTGGAGGCGGAGTTTGTGCGGCGGGAGGCACCCCCCTCCTACGGCCAGCTCATTGCGCAGGGCCTTATTCCCCCGGTGGAGGACTTCCCTGTCTACAGCGCATCACAGGTGACCAGGGGTCCGCTGGGCCAGGTGCTGATGGGAGGGGAGGCTGGACGCAGGCCGGACGACTGGTGAGGTGGGCGTGTGACTAGGTGGGATGCCAATACTGTCTTGTGCCTATGGGGGCGATGTTGATGCCCAGGCCCTGCCCCAGCAGTCGTTCCAGGTCAGACCGCCCCCTTAACTACCGTGCCCTCCCCGCAGGCTTCAGTGCTGCAGAACCTCCGCACGGCCATGCGCAGACAGATGCGCCGGCACGCCTCCCGCCGCGGCCCCTCCCGCCGCCACCTCGGCCGCCTCTGGAACAGGCTCTTTCACCGCCCTCGGGCGCCTCGCGGCCAGATCCCGCTACTCAGCGCCGCCCGCACCTCACAGACAGTGCTGGGCAATGGGCTCCTCCAGCCCGCTCCGGGTGCTGCCCCGGACCCCTCGGCAACCCGAGTGGGCACAGGCAGTCCTGTGGCGACAGGCGACGGGCTCCCTAGTGCCACCGGCCAGGCATCTGAGGTGGGGCCTTCCATGCCACCGTCACCCCCAGGCTATCAGGACGCCGAGTGCAGGCCCACGGATAAGGACAGAGAGGCCTGCAGGGACCCTCCGGTGGACAGTCCAGCCTCTGTGGACACGCCTTGGCAACCCTGCCCCACCCAGGACCCGCACCCCTCGGCCCCCATTGCCAGCAGCACCCTTGGCCCTCAGCTACCAGAGTCGCTTGGCACCTGCAGGAGCCCCCCGCCACCCTGCTCCCCCATATTGGAGGCCAGTGACGATGAGGCCCTGCTGGTCTGCTGACACGCTGGACACGCTGATGACCGCCACCGCCCCGCTTTGTAACCAGGGAATACACAGTGATTTCTACCATGTTTGTGCAGCCTTCTTTCTTATGGGGACCCGAACCCAAGCCCAGCTTTCCTGCCCACGCTCTCCCCACCCTGGGGCTATGGGTGCCAGGCAAGGAGAGAGGCCTGCAGGGGTGGGAGGGTTGGCCCACACAAGCATCTAGGGTCTCACTCCTGCCCTCCCCCTTTACTTTATCCTTCCTGAGAAGGGAGAGGGCCAGGGCACTAGGGCAGGGTTCTCCACTGTGGCAGCCCCCGCGTCCCACCTAGAGGGGGTAGCTCCCCTCGTCACTGCTGACCCTGCAGTGGGGCAGCGTCGGCACTCTGCACCTAGCCAGGTGAGCACTTCCTGTCCTCCCTCAAAGACCTGGCCTGGGTGTTGGGGAGCTCTGCCCCCAGCCTTGTGATGTGGTGGGCACATGCACCTGGCCAGACTGGTGGCCCTATGCCCTCTGCAGGGTAAGCCTCCTGGCACCAAGGCTGAGAATGTGGGCTAGGGGTAGGAGAAGCCCTGGGGTCACTTGCAGGCCCAGAGGCCCCAGGAGGTCCTACTATCTGCTGTTTTAGGGGATAGAGGTGGAGACACCGAGAACTAATCCTCCCAACCCTGTCCCAGGGGCTCAGTTTCCCCATCTGTAACCCAGCAGGTCTGATGCCTGTGATGATGTATGGGAAGAACAACAATTTCAAATGGCCTGCACTGGGCTCTCTTGGTGTTGAGCTGCAGGCTGGCATTGAGGGGTCAGGGTAGGGGCAGGTCAAGTCCCTCCCCAGACTTCCTTACCCCTTGGGCTCCTCAGTGACCCTAGGAGCCAGCTCTGGGTCAAGCTCAAGGCCCTCCACTTCAAAGGGGTGCCCCAAGAGCCTATCTGGGCATCTGCACCGTGTGGGCCCTGAGCTCGGCCTCCTCAGCCCTGTTGGCACCCTCCAGGGATTCCGAGGGGCACAAGTGACCAAATAGTCCTGTTTTATTTACGGACCGTTTCAGGAGAGGCTAGCAGGGTGGTGTTAAGATGAGACCCAGTCCATAGCTTCAGGCTTCCCTAGAATGAATGTCTAAAATCGGATCTTTTGTTTTTCCAGAAAGAAAAAAAAAAGTTTTTGCAAAACAGACCCCAATAAAGGATATGTAAACAGAAACGGCTGCTGCTTCAGTCTCCACAGGCATCTCAGTGTGTCTTCCGGGGCCTGTCCGAGGTGGGCAGTGAGGATGGCAGACATGGTCCGTTTTCCTCCTCCTCCGGGGGGCCCTGGGGGTAGACCACAAAACACAGCTCCTGGCCCCAGCGTGTCATGGACTCTGAGGAGAGATGGACAGGTGGACGGTGAGGCCTGCCTGCACAGGACAGTGGCACCACGGGACACTGGCTCCAAGCTGAGCTGCTTTCTGTGCAGGCCACGCCCCAGCAGGGCCATGTCTCAGGGAGACACCTGAGGGGTGGGGCCCCCTGTTGGACAGCCCGCTCACCTGTGAGTCTGTGCACACACTTTGGTTTGCTCCTCCAAAATGCCCCCAGGAAGAAAACGGGCACCCCCGTGAGGATGATGATGACCCCGACACCGCACACCATGGGCTCCGAGATGAAGCTGAACACCAACAGGAATGCCCAGAAGACCAAATACGCCACTGGGACCAGGAGGTTCACCTGGGGGAGAGCTTGCGTGAGCAGTGAGCACCAAAGGAGCCCTCCCACTGCAGCCCCACCCTGCAGGGGCTCTGAAGGGTGATCGCCCCCCAGCCTCTGGGAGCCAGTTCGGGGAATGGTCAGTCTGTTAGACTCTCAGGATTTGCTCAGAGCTCCAGCTGCTCTGAGCCACACAGCGCTGGTGTAAGTGTGGGGAGGGGGGACTGTTGAGCTGTTTCACATTTCCAGCACTTAGCAGCTCTTGGATGCAAGACTTTAAGGCAAGCTTTTAGCTCATTGCCCTCCGTTTATCTTTCTTGCTTTGTGGAATCCTGGCTTGGCCTCATTTCACTCAACAGCAAATCCCAAACTAGATCCCTGGCCATTGAGCCAATTTTGACTCATAGTCACCCTAGACCATTAATCTTTGTGGGAGCGGATGGTCTCATCTTCCTCCTGAGTGCGGCTGCTGGGTTTTAAACAGAGGCTTGTGCTTAGTGGCTTAATTCCTAGCTCCTGCGCCACCTAGGAAGTGTTACAATCACCGCCTTGTGCGGATGAACTCTGTTGGTAGTGGTGAAGCCCTAGCAAGGTGGGAAAGGTGGGCAGTCCTCCGACCGGGCCTCACCTTGATGGGTCTGTGGAGGGCCGGCCGCCTCCAGCGCAGTACAAGCAGACCCAGGATGGTGACGCCGTAGCAGAGGTAGTTGATGAAGGATACATAATTGATGAGGGTGTATGTGTCTCCCACAAGCATGATGACCGCCGTGGCCCCACACTGGGGGAGAGATGACAGGTCTGAGGACTGGCCTTCTACCGCCTCTGGCTGCCTCACCCCACCCTCCCATCATCCCCTAAACCACAAGCCCTGCTCAGGCTGCTTCCCTGACTTACACAGACCAGGAGGGCGGGGATGGGGGTGCAGCGTTGGACATGGATCATGGCCAGCAGGCTGGGCAGGTGTCCCTCCCGGGCTCCAGAGAAGCACAGTCTGCGGGAGGGGTCAGAGATGGTGGAGGCTGTCAGCCCAGCCCCAGACACCAGCTCCGGACCTGACGTCACCTTGAGCCTTCAGTCGCCTCTCCTTTCCAGTTACAGGAACAAGTGGTCCCACTGGCTGCCGCCCCCATCATGCTGTCTTTACTTCTGATCTGGGACCAGACGTTCGGTGGCGGGCAGTTTACTGTCCCAGCCTCATCTGGTCCCCAGTTGGCACCACTTCCCCTGCTCTGTCCTCCCGTCCTGCTGGAGCATGCCAGCCTGCCCGCCCTCCTTGCCTCACAGCCCCCCTCTCCCAGCTCAGGCACCTGGAGGAGGTGAACAGGTAACCGTTGATCCCTCCGAAAGTGGAAAGAGCCACGGAGGCTGGCATGACCCAGGAGAAGTAGCCCAGCAGCTTCTCCCCGAAGGTCTGATGGGCACAGAAGAGAGGCCATGAGGTGTGCGGCCCAGGCCCGAGTGGGGGCCCAGGAGCCCGAGGCTCCCCACTCACCACAGCCACGGCATTGGAGGACAGCAGCTCCTGGGGGGACATGGCCGTGAAGTAGGCCACGTTGGTGAATGTGTACACAAAGGTGACCAAGGGGATGGAGATGAAGATGGCTCGAGGTAGGTTCCTGTGGGCAGTCGTTGAAGGGCCTCGTGTCAGCTCCGAGGGGCGGGCAAAGCTAAGTGGCTATGTGTTTCTGCCTCCTTTGTCTTCTGGAAGCCTGGGCGGGGTGGGGGGGGGGGCAGGAAGGCAGGGGACACTGGCCACCGCTGGCTGCCTCACCCACCCTGGTCTGGGCACAGGGGAAGCTACTATCTGCTTAGGACAAAGCAAAGTGCACCTAGACCCCATCTCCAGTGAAGCCTTCCCTGTACTTTCCAACAGGGCCCCTGTTCCCGTCCCATGGTGGTCTTGTAGCTGCACTTGTCTACTGTCCAGACCTCTGGCTGAGCAGCCTGTGGTGTCACCGGCTATATTGTAGGGACCACACTGTGTACCCAAGGGTGGCTTTTAGTCAAGTGAAAACTATTAGTAGGCTCTATTTACAGCAAGGGCACCCAGTTCCTAATGCCCACTTGTGAGGCCCGGTGAGGGGATTCACCTGGACACTGGCAGGTGGGGCCACTGAGGGAGCGATCGCTGGCTGAGGATGCTGCCTCCAGCCCACCCAGCACTTGTAGCCTGTGGCCCTCACTGGACAGCCTGCTCCTGGGACAGAAGAGGGGCTGCCTACCTCCCTGGCCATCAGGTCCCACCCCACGCTACTCACTTCCGAGGGTCCACCAGCTCCTCGGTGACGTAGTTGAGGAAGTTCCAACCACTGAAGGCAAAGGAGCCCTGGAGGAATGCCAGGGCCAGGTGACCCACAGATGGTGTCATCCAGAAGGAGAAGGCATTGCTGGGCCTCAGCTCCTCAAAGTGCCCTGGAAAGGGGGCAGAGGCCAAAGGTTAGCACCCCACCCTCCCACCCCCTGAGTCCTATGGGTACACCCATCCCATCGTAGTCACTACCTTGGAAGATCTGGACGAAGCCCACGCCAATGATGAGCGAGAGGGCCAGCAGCTTCCCGCCTGTGAAGATGTCCTGGATGCGCGTGGCCCAGCGCACGCTGGAGCTGTTCACCCATGTTAGCAGCACTGGGGAGGGAGTGGATGCTGGTGCAGAGGGTGGGGGGGGCAGGGGCGCCCGAGTCCAAGACCCCTCAGTGTGTGCCACAGTCAAAGCCAGCCCAGGCTGCTGAAGGGGCAAACCCAGCTCAACAGTGTTTGTCAAGGTGATTCCAACTCACTTCGACCCTATGAGACAGAGTAGAACCATCCCTTTGGGTTTCTGAAGCTGTCAATCTTTATGGAAGCAGAAAACCTCATCTTATGCCTGCAGAACAGCTGGTGGGTTTGAACTGCTGACTTTGTGGTTAGCAGCCCAACTCACTACCCGGGCCCCTGAGAGAAGGGTAGAATACCCCAAACCCAGAGGCTGGGTGTGGGGCAGCCCCCTGCTTGGGAGGTGGGGGCACTCACTCAGGCAGGCCATGGAGAGCATGCGAGAGGCGGTCAAGGATGGGATGCAGTTGGGGAACACGGGCTGCAGCACGTAGTTGGAGAAGGTCATGGAGATGACGGCCAGGCTGGTGGGGTACATGATGAGGACGGCGCTCCAGAGCAGCAGGAAGCTGGGCAAAGGAGTGAGCGAGGCCCCAGTGGGACGGCCATCCCGGCTCTCTCCTGGGCAGGGCGGGCATGCTGCTCAGAACAGGCTGCTGGGAGGAAGTCCAGGAAGGTGGGCGCACCTTCTCACAGTCTCAGCTAGGAAGGCTAACACACCCACATAACTGAGGGCTACCCTTGGGCCAGAGAGCTCAGAACCAAGGGCTTTGCTGATGCTGGCCTAGCCTGCTTGGCTGCAGGCTGCTTTCTGGGCCAGACAGGCTACTTCCTTCAGTCCCTCTGTGGCCTCATCTGCAGGTGGCCAGTATAGGCTACTCGGAGCTCCTAATAGAGACTTTTACCTCTGGGTACAGGGGCCAGAGACGAGCCACCTCCTTGATCATGCTGGGAGTGAGCCTGCTTCTCACCTCGAGCCTCTGCCTGGTGCCCAGATTTAGGGCTCCCTGTGTTCCAGGCCAGCAGCCAGAGCTGCTCCCCGGGAATCTGCCTCCATCTGTCCTTGGGGTGGTCGTATAAGGTCTGGCTACCATTGGAGAGGGTAGGGACTGTCTCTACACAGGTGGCCTCTGCTGGGTTTCCCCCACCCCTCCACTGGTCTGCCCTCCTTTGTAGGTGGTTGAGTGAAGCCCCCTCAAAAAGACATGTTTGATATCTTCACCCCTGGGCCTGGGACCTGGTTTGGAAACATGGTTTCCTTCTTGGCCTCACTCAAAAAAACTCCCTTCCATTGATTCACAGCAACCCTCTAGGGCAGTCGAACTGTCCCCTGTGCGTTTCCAAGACTAAAACTTGATGGGAGCAGAAAGCCTCATCTCTCTCCCAAGGAGCAGCTGGTGGTTTGGAACTGCTGACCTTGTGTTTAGCAGTCCAATATGTACCCACTAAGCTACCAAGATTCCTTTTGTGGTCAGTTAAATGCTGGCACGGATGTCCTTAAGGAGAAGATATGGACACAGAGTCACAGGGGACGAAAAACAGCACATGCACTCATAGTTGAGGCCAGGGAGAGCTGAGAAATGCCCAGGACTTCTGTGGCTGAAAGAAACAAGGAAGGAGGTCCCACCAGAGCCCAGGGAGGGAGCAAGGTCCTGCGAGGCCCTGAATCCAGATGAACATCTTCCAGAAGTGCAAGGAAAGACACTTCTGTCCTGTAAAGCTACCCACTTGCCTGAGGAATCTAAGCCCCTTGTTCCACTGGGTCCTGGCCTGGACTTCATCCCCTGCTGAGCACACTCCTCCACCCCCTCTCCGTACTGGGGTATCTCATGGGCCCGCTTTTCCCACCCACCTCTCAGGTCCTGCTGAGAGAAGCCTTCTCAGGGGAGAGCCCCTTGGTCTGGGCAGCCTTGGGATGAATTAGGCATCACCCTCTGGTGCCCTCTCACCCTCATGCCTTCTAATACTGGCTCCCAGGCCCTCAGCATCGCTCCACTGGGCAACTGGAACCCCTTCCAGGCTCCCAGGACCCTTTGGAAGCCCCAACATCTGCCGACAGGTCTGAGCGACTCTAGTTGCAAGATACACCCTGCTCACCCAGGCCACCAGGCCTCTGCCTCGCCAGTCGAGAGTGAGTCTGCCCTTCCTCCGTAGCTTGGGGCCCGAGTGGCTTCCCCCGGGCTGCACTCTGTTCTCTGGGCTGCAGGGCTGCTGCCTCTTGCACACACTCAGCCAAGACCAGGTCTCTCTAGGTCTTAGCCATGCCGGTGTGGCCACCATGTCTGAATGACTGTGTCTCCATTCTGGACAGAGGGATGTTTATCATGGGGTCCTAGCCCTCAGCATGCAGGAGGTGCTGAATCAGTGTAAAGGAGTAAAGGAGTGTTGGTGCGGGGGGGG